ATGCGCTCTCACTTTCAGCACAAGTCATCCTCACAAGGATACCTCCGTATCAGATTTCTATGTCTATGGAAATATCTACAAGTGCTAATAAATCAACTACCAACTCGAAAACAAGGTGGCCGTGAGACGCAACTACTAAGCAGTTCATGATGAAAACTACCTCACGAATTAGAACTCTCTCTTCCCTCAGGTGCCAAGTAAACTTCGTCCCCTCGAGTCCCTCACTGCACTGGTACAATGCATAATGGCATCAATGATTGTTCTAGTGCGGAACATTATAAATACCCTAGCACATTACCCTATTTTGCATGTTAAGAAGAAAATGACATGAAGGAATTAGAGTGGTTTCCAGGCGCGCAATGGTTTTCCAACGATATGTAGAGCATCTGTCGGTACCCGTCACCTATCCGAGAGGAGAAATGCATGGCTCAACTCAGTACAATATTCGGAGCTGTGCTAGTTATGAATTGATTAGTCTTCCCATTTCCTTTCATCACGAGCCCCGCCTGTGATCATCAGTTACAAATGTCAACGCCAGTAGAACTAGGCGTGGGCGTACTGTAATCGCTTGCGGTACGCAATTGCACCGGCGCAGGGTGGGATATATACGTAAAATCGTTTCATCACCGAGGTCGGCTGGACCGCAACGCTTACGCGTCGACAGTCCAACTGACCTGAAGTGAGTTAAAGGATAAAAGGATAAAGCATTTGCCGTTGATCAATCCCTTTTTGGGATGCGGCACGCATTCTACTTCCATTTGTACATTCGTAGTGGCGTTTGAATGCGATGTGGCCTATACAATGACTTGCGGGGGCCAGCCGATGTTCAAGTCAGTGTTTTTTATCCTCCCAGACAAGTCTGGTACCAATTAACCGACCCCGGAGGGATGGAAGGCTTGGTTGGCCCGGGCGACTCACGACCCAGGATTTGATCCCGGACCGCTCGCGTGGTGAGCGCGCCACTTGTCACTGCACCAACTGACTGACCACTGAGTTAGCTCAAGTAACACGTACGTTTGGAGGCCGTCGGGGATGAATCCCCCTAGTCGAGACTAGGGGGATTCATCCCCGACGAATCCTCCCCGACGACCCTATGCAACAAGCCCCGAAGGTCGTCGGGGATATGTCCCCGACGATCGTCGGGGCTTGTTGCATACGACTTCGGGGATATGTCCCCGACGATCGTCGGGGCTTGTTGCATACGACTTCGGGGATATGTCCCCGACGATCGTCGGGGCTTGTTGCATACGACTTCGGGGATATGTCCCCGACGATCGTCGGGGCTTGTTGCATACGACTTCGGGGATATGTCCCCGACGATCGATCGTCGGGCTTGTTGCATACGACTTCGGATAACTAACGGAATCGTAAAAGAAATACGGTTCGACCTGTCAAGGCCAGACGTATGCAACATTTTGTGTGCTTCATGCTCTGAATTATGTCCTGGGTGATGGTAAGATGTTTGAAGCAAAGGAATTACAGGTTGGTCATAACTGACCTAGAGTAGATCGACTTCGAAAGTAAGTCCCACTCATCTTGTGCCTTATTGTACCCTGATACGCTGAAGCAAGACGACACTTTAATTCATCATGGATTCTCCACTAATTCGAACTAACCTGTGTGTACACTAGTGGTACCGGATATGTCACCGACGATGTCGGGGCTTGTTGGGCATACGAATTCGGGATATGTCCCCAGGACCTGCGTACGGAGAAGGCTTGCTATGAGCATTCGACGAGTCTTGTGGGCTTTCGGGGAATGTCACCTCGACGATCGTCCGAGGTTCTTGCTTGCTATACGAATCTACGAATACCCGAAGAGGCCTTACGAGAGGCTATGAGTTTTTGCCTAATACTCGCCGCCTTGATTGCCTTTAGCCACACATTCCGGGTATCATTTTCATTCATGTGTAGCATTATTGCAGGTAGGCAGCTGAAGGCCACTATGGGTGTATGAAGGTTAGGAGTTGAGAGCCAGCGAGTGAGCGAAAGTCGACAGCGAAAAATCCCTCATCCCGCTTCATTACATCATGAGGTGTTGTCCCCTTTACTGTATGAACACCTTCGTGTCCTGGCCTACGCGTCACTTCCAGTGACGGTCGTTTGGTGTCAGCAGAGGGAAGGCAAAGGACATAAAGCGAGGTTTGAGGGGGAGTCAAGGATTAAAGACATTTTGTTAGCGCCACTGGAATTAATCCAGAGGGAAAAGGTCCAACGACGGCGGGTTGGGGTAGCACCTTCGTGGGACTTTAAGTCTGGGAACGGATAATCATAACATAATCAGGTACACGAAGAATTATCAAACACTGTATAATGAGCACTAAGTTTGATAAGTCGTTGCAAAGACGCTTCCAGTTAAATCGCCGTGAGCGTCATGGGTGTCCTCTCGCCGGGCTCCATAATCATCTCGCAGAAACGCGTCTACTCTGTTGTGGTAGCACACTTCTATTGGCTTGGTGTGTACCGCTATTGAATGGATACAGTAGCGCCAATGTGAAAAGAAACTGGTTTGTGTGCTCGGACCTACTCAGAACGCCTAGTGGTTGCTGGAAGATAGAACTGATAGTACGGTAGCATCTCAGAAATTCCTAGTATCACTTATGAGATGGCATACGACGCGAAGGATTCTGCTCTTATCCCAGGAAAACATGATGATTTCTGTCTGGCCAAGTATTTGTTGCTTTAATTGCCGTGCGTTACCTAAACTGTGAGTTACATGGTTCTAAAGAACCGTATAAGAGTGCCGCCACGGGTTTCAATGCGTTCTCAGCTTGAGAGGGCGCGCACTGCGCAAGAGCACTCGGAAAACTCTGAGACAGCAAAATGGGCTCGCGAGGTTAGACGCGGCTCGTGATGTTACAGGCTGCGTGACTCTTGACAAGCACTTGCCTTCGTGGCAAGCCAAAACTGTGATTCAAGTCCATGCCGACATGGATCATCCATGTTTACGGGGGACTGGTTTTCCCTTGACTGCATGCAGGATTATGCCGAACAAAATCTTCAGATGCATGGCATTTGTGGGTTCCTTAGACAGTCGGAGACCGTTCCCAAAACACCATCTGGTCAACTACAAGCCATTTTTTAACACTTGCACTAGTTTTCCACTCTGAACACATCACCATTACTTCCGGCTGATATATAGGTTGCGCTATTTGCGGTAACATACGTCGGGAGAAGAAGCTTGGATTAGGTCAACTTGGGCAGGACTAAATCCCACCTGTTTGGTTTCTGACAGCTGCATAAGGCATTGGGTTAAGTGGAAAACGCTACTTTCCGCCCTCGACGCAATGAAGCACTCGGGGGACTAAAAGCTATAAGTTAACGGTGAAACTCCAGTTCGGGGGGGCCACTCCATTTTTTCTCCAATACTCAAGATAAGGATTAGAGGGCTCACGACACGTAATCGACTCATTTAAAGTAGACTTCTGATAAATATTGGTGTAATGGGTGAATCCTGAATCGTTGGGTGAAACGAACGTTTTCACATTTCCGCCTGCCATGACCCAAGGGAACGGTCCTGGACCAGGAGAAAGGACACCTCCGCAAAGGGCTAAGGGTGCAGGAGCTCCAGGGTGGATCACCTGTGCAGAAAAGTGGGCAGGTAGTGTGGAATGGACATCCACCGGTCCTTATCAAAAGTACGCTCGAAATGAGTCGTTCACTTATTATCTTATCCGTAGTGTTCGATAGCCCAAAGAACTGCTCTCTAGTACTACGGATAAGATAGCAATGGAGTGGCCCCCCCCGAACTGGAGTTTCACCGGTTAAGATTATTACTAATAAAAAGGTAATCGAGTACCAAATGAACGCGAGTTTTACAGGCAATTTTTGCCATGTTCATCGCAAAGTCTCCACAGGCCATCCCGCTCTCAATACAATTTCATCCACCAACAAGAATCATTTCCAGGGCAATCAAGCCATAACGCAAATATAAAAATAATTTACTCATCTAATAATGACCCGTAATACTCCCCTTTGCTTCGCTTCATCCCATGCAAGTGTGATAAGCGAAAGAAGCCACTGAATCGGTAGCCAGTACTTGGCATTAGGAGTGACGACCTTGTCGTATTCCTCAATTCTCGAGCTGTCATTAGCCTGAAACCGAATGAGACAAATGAAAAGAATCACAAAGAATAATAGACGCTTGACCGCAAATTTGTCTATCACCCACCGTTAACTTATGAAAGACCCCTTGTCGACGAAACACTACTCCCTCCCTTACTCTTCACTACTATGGTTTTGCTGAAGCGCTACCAAGCGGTAAAGTGACGTATTGGCTCGTACGCTCCTTTCGCGTCGAGTCGTGTAAGAGTCTGTAACCCCCACTAGACAGCGTGAGTTTTGAAGAAGGCAGCATCTATGGGAGTCGCGTCAATGCGCAAATCAGCAGGCAAGGAAGGGCTCTCATCAGTCGAGTTTCGGCACAGATGCTGATGCTTGCGGCAGATATTAAATAGTGGCTCTGGAGGAACCATAGTACATAATATCGGGTTGATGCATGAATTAATGCGAATTTTTAAACAAATTTTATTCAGCGGAAACATATTTGAACGATTTATTCCAGAGCGTGTCACCATTCCTTCAAAAATGCTTCCCATTTGCTTGGCAGTAGGTCGATTCCACGGTGGAGAAGTCACGATTCTTGGAGACGATCCACGCTCTAACATCGGCCACCAAGTCATCCAGCTCGTCGTAAATTTTGTTCGTTTGCCAGTTTTTCAACGACTGATTGAAGTGGTAGTCTGTAGGAGCTTCGGTCGGTAATATGGCGTTTTGAACCTCTTGAACCATCTTTCAACTTGGCTTTTGCTGATTGTTCCCTCGCCGAAAAGTTCGTTGAGATCGCAAAATGACTCTGCCGCCTTCCAACCTTTCTCGAAGTGGTAGAGCATATGTGGCGAATATGAGGATGATTTTCGATAAGCATTTCTGTTAATGAAAGAGAGAAGAATATTCTCATGAAAAAATAATGAATAGAAACGCCAATCTTTTCGAAAAAGAAGGCGCGAAAAAACCGCAATAATTTGCATCAACCCAATAATAGGTCAAAAGATGACTTGGTTAGAGTGTGAAGCTGCAAAACATTGCACGGCACCTCTTTGCTCCTCTTACTGTTTCATACGAGGGCAGTCTACATTAATCAAGCGCGAAAGCGGCCGGAAAGCTTTCATCAATTTTTCTCGAAGGAAAGTTGGTCAGGCAATACCTTCTGAGCAACTCGATTTTTGGATGAACAGTGTCAGTTAGCGTCTTTCTTACAATTCATTCCTCAGCATCTTTCCAATCACTTACCTGACGTGACCAAATGGTTCATGGTAGGGAAGCGACGGCGAACTAAGGTGGAGATGTCGCGGAATACGAGTGCCTCCATCAACACCAAGTACCGTATGCAGTTACGTCTTATCATTTTCGACCGCTCATCTTCACCGCGGATCGATTGCGTTATCTGCAGAGCAGGCCTGAAATTCGGGTTCTCTTGGTGATACATTACCGCTGCAACTTACTGAAATGCACTAACAACCTATGAGCGCTATTTTGTACAATAAGCACTTCATATCTCGCAAAGAGAGAAGGCGCGTCCATGAACATTTTATGGACCACGCAGAGTATAAATAGTGGTTGAGAATGCTGGCTGATCACTCTTTAAACTCTTTTGCACTTTCCACTCCCCACTTTCTACTTACTCTGCATTGCTCATGTTTCTGCAAGCTTAAATTTGTTGTTTTGGCCATCATGTGTACAGAGGGGGTCAAAAAAAGACATTTTACCCATGTCGCACTTCGACCTTTTTTCTCCGCAGGGTTTGCCGTCGTTGACGGAAGTTCCTCAGCAGAGTATTCCCTAAGTGTTCCTATAAGTGACGCAGGCCCTCCTTCACTGCCCTCACCGTCTTCAGAATATGACGTCATCTGTCACCGTCGTCAGGCTCAAGGAGGTCTACCGTAAGAGCTTCAGCCTGAAGCTCTTACGCAATTTCGTGAATCGATTTAATGTTGGATAGTTTTCTAGAGGCATTAGCTCCCACTATGCAAATCCCTCGATCGCTTTTCAGTAAAGGTCGTGATGGTACACGATCCTTCGAAGACCCCATTGAGCTCGACCAGTGCACCATCTTCCAGGGGCATGCCGTAGACGTAGATGGCCACTATAATGCTTTCTTGTAGAATGAAATGCGCTCTTCAATTCCAAGTTAGAAACATTCGATTTGAATTGAGCAGAGCGCGATTATGTGGGGACAAAATTTCTTTTTATATTGCTGCCCCCCTGTATAATTTCACCATGAGCGTTCACTTGCATAATATGTCATTTTCATGCGAGTTCCAGATTGTGACTTAGCAAAATGTTTTTGCAAATTCTCCAAATTGGCGAGTTTCTTCAAATAGAAGTGTGCCCGGCACCTCTGGCACCTCTGCCGAGTGCTCTCTGAGACGGTGTTTTGGAAGTTTCAAAAATAATGAGGATTAAATAAATAGATAAATAATGAAAGCATTCATGCACATTGCCGGGTTTGGAAAAATATGCAGAAAAAAGTCGTGACATGCCTTCACGCTACTCTGCTAGGAACTTCTTGCTGGTTTGTGCGGAATTGTTTCAATAAAAGGGGACTGTGTGTTAAGAGCAGTGCTCCGGACTCCCAGAAATCCACCGTTCCAGCGTCAGTGTGCCTTAGTTGCTCTATTGGTAGGAGCCGTTAGTGCATTGAGGAAAGGGCTGGCCGATTGCTCAGCCAGATAGCTGCAGTTAGTGGCTTGAAGATGATGTGCCTGGTTGGCGGAGTAGCCTAAACGGCTCGTCGTTGATTTCCTTATGGTTAGGTTCCAGTCTGGAAGCCTCAGTGGCTGAATGAAAGAAGCCTGTGCGACTTATCGCCTAGACAATGCTTACGCCTGCACCTGCGCCTGAACATACGTTCGTTTCTCTGTCATTCGTCACCTTCCACAACTGTGTCAGCACGTGAAGTTAAGTTTTACTCCATTGGCGTATTGTACAAATCCACCTCGCGTACCGTGCATGATACATACAAATACAAAACTGATCAGTGATGTCTTGTCATCATTTACCGATTGAATTCTTTCGCAGAAATCACCGGAGCTGGAGCTTAAAAAATATTGAGCACTTTTCAAAGACATCAGGATTTGAAATTTGAATGACTCAAATAGGTTCAAAATTGGGCGAAAGGTCTAGAGAAAGGTCCGATATTACCACAAAATTTGAAGAACTTTCGCTTCGACAGTTTTTGACTGCATGAAAAGCAGGAACAGCATTGTCGGAAAAGTCAGATTCTGCCGCCTGAGTTTTCCTGCATAGCGAAGAAGCATAAGAAGATTTCGGACGTACAAGAAGAACGGCTACGATATTAGGTTTTATTCTAATGTATAATTATTGAATATTTTCACAACGAAACCAGCTTTTGATTTGAAAAAACAAGATTTGAAACTTGCGGACAAACCACACCGGCGTACTCAGAGAAATTCTAGTGTTAACCTGTGCTTTAATATCAAGAACTTCAACAAAAATTTCCCCGACATGGAACCCGGAAGCCACGTCCGAAAACCATCTTTTTGAAATCGGACGACTAAATGGACAATTGTTCGGTATGAAATTTCCTAAGGTAATGCTTGTGTGAAAATGTGAAAGGTATCGTTTATGGAAACGTTTCATGGCGAAAATGGAGCCCAAGCATTGTGAGGAAATGTAGCTGAACCAACCGGAGTGTGTGCTCTTTTTGTCTAGATTGTTTTGCTTTCCTCCTTTTATCTTTGTGCCTTTTTTTTCAAGGTTGTGTTCTATGGAAAGATAAGTAATTATGAATATTAAAAAGAGAGAAAGTTAGGGAAACACTAAAAGTTACAAGGGAATAGGGCTGACTCAAGTTGGTTTGGCTCCATCAAAGCAAAGTAGTCTCGGTTCTCGTATGGTTCTCGTATGATCGTAGAGATAATGAATTTCACATTCACTTCTCGAGAATGAATTTGGATTCTCTTGAATGGGTCAAATATTGTTCTTTGAAGCATGAAGTTTCAATGAAGATGTGTTTCCAAGCAAAGTCAAGCAGAACCGAACGTTCCTTCCATGGCCTAGGTTTTATGTCGTAAAAAAGCGGAGAGCAACATACCCCACGGTTTGACTATTTTTGGATCCAGCAGCAACTAGCTGTTGGATCGCCAAATCGTGATGGTGATGTAAGATGACGGTAAGATGTTGATGGTGTAAGAAGAATCGCAGGATTAATTTTCAAAGTTCTGCCGCTATTCATAGTACATCAAAAATATCAAAAAGCTTGAAAAAAATTTCCCATAATAGAATAGTTGCGTAAAGCATTATTCATAGAGAATAAGATAGCCTGAGGCTGATTTGTAATATTATTTGCGCCGGAATGCGTGCATCGGTTTACGTTCAACAATTAAAAGGAGAATTCTAATCTTTCAAGTAAACTTCTATTTTTTTGAATCTATGAGTCCTACATAGACAGACAAAGCATCTCACGCATCCATGCTTGTCCGCCGCCGTATGTAGGCGGTCCTATAGTAAGGACAATGAACTGGGCTGCGGTCTCCATGCTAGTAACTTTGTGCCCTACCTACAGAATGCGGCGTGCCCATCGCATTGTATTCGCAAACACTTGTCCAAATCAAAAATGCTTATGCTCTTCTTGTTCATTTGTTCTTGTTAGCTTTTGGCTAAAGTATAGTTGTAATCATAATTATGCGAAGCAGTGCTTGAGAAAATGACATACTGATCGATCCATCCCATATTGTCGAAAACTTGACGCCATCGATTAAACACTGCCGATACATAAAAACCGAGCATAAAAGTCACAGGAATGAAGGACGAGTGGTCGTTGAAAAAAATACAAAATGTTCTCGAATATCCTTAAAATGGAAAATTTAATTAATGTATCCATCACACTCGCTAACTTATCTAAATTTGTGCGTCGATGTATGCATTTACTGGGGAGCAGGATCGGTCCTATAGTTGCTACTCTCCAAAGAGTTTTTACGACCACCTCCGAATGAAATGTTCATACACCTCTCTTACGAAACAATTTGTTACCCCAGAAATATTTGGGGGGGGGGGTATATCACGCGCTGAAACAGCAAATTTCCTCCCGCGCCGCTCCCCACTCATCACATGCCACTTCTTACAACCGGAGCAAGTACGACCCCCCCTCTACAAACTCGCCAAAATACGACCCCCCGTTGCTACTTGTAGCATAGGGTTGGCCCTGCTCGGGAGAGCGAAAGAATGCGGATCTCCCACTGTCATTTCACCAGATATTCACGGCCCTTTGTGATTACCACTTCTCTCTTCCCGTGCCGTTATTTTGTCCCTATCTCTTAATAGCTTAATAGAAGGGATAAATATAAGGGAAGTGTACATTTACATTTCGATCTAACTTGTAAATTTGCTTTATATCAATACGGCTGCATTAAACAACTAGGCGTGGATTGCTACTTATCGTGATAGGCCTCGCAAAACCTCCGACTCAACTTCTGCGATTCTTATTTCGGGTCAGAGAAGTGCGTTTTGCAAGAGCCACGGCGGATTAGGTAATAAGTAAGTTTATTCATCTGCAGACTCGGCTCGTAACCTTGCAACCTAACCTTGTCCTAGGAAGTTTTGCAAGGATGTCTAAATTATCGATCAGGTGCAGAGCACATTGACAGCCAAAATCTCAAAGCTCTTTTTTATGAAGTTTCTTTCAAACCCTTTCCAGTTGGCTACTCAATCAGATCCAAGGTTCTACAGGCATAGTACATTATGACTGTATCTTTCATCGTCTTTGTGATGAGTAACGAGCAGTAAAATCCAGGATACCCCACAGAGTTCGCGAGATCGTGTCATACCTTAACTCGCTTAACTCTCCTAGTTTGGCTGCTCAACATGAGATCCGCTTATGAGTCACTGCGTCAAGGATGCTCTCAATACGCTCTAGTTTTCAGTGAAATAAAACATACTCTTTGTGATGTTTAACTAGGAATAGTCGATACAAGATACTCAGAATAGCATAAAGTATGCTCCAGATTAACAACTCTATCCAAACGGCTTTCCATACGGATCCCTAAAAAAATTCATTTCAAGTAAAAGACTTGCCTTAAGACTGAATTGAAATGCATGTCAATTGAACGAATCTGTTGCTAAGTCGTTTTTTTTTGTTTCCGATTTGGAGTGTTTTCCTATTTGTGTAGTTGTTGAGAAATATGGATGTGTTGTAATGCCAGAGTGTACGACAATCTTTTGGCTTTGACTGTGGCGTTTGCCAAAGGGTGGAACCTACACTTGTCCTCTCGATCAGTATGTTAAGATATTTGTTGAAGGCACTGAGAGATGACGGCAATCTCAGTTAAAGTAGGTCGTTCTCTTTCCCGTGTTCTTTCCTTTTCGTCCCTTTCATTTTTTTTCTGTGCGCATCGTCATTGTGTCTGGCGCT